CTGCTTCTACCACTGTTTCTGCTCCTGTTTCTGCTCCTGTTTCTGCTCCTGTTTCTGCTCCTGTTTCTGCTCCTGCTTCTTTGGAACCAGCGGCATCAAATCTTCCGCCGGTGGCACCAGGCTATATCGACAACTTTAGAAATTTTGTTACAAGGCTGCGTGATGGGAAATTGTCAGAAACTCCGGTATCAAAGGAGGGAGATGCTGCTGAAAGTTTTTCACAAAGAATTATGAACGTGTTGCCTTCGTGGCCGAATTCGGTGGAGAAGCCACTGAAATCTGTGCCAAAGTCAGACCCTGATGAGACTGTTTCAACGCATGCTGAAAGTTGGTCTCCAATCCTGAATTGGGGCAATAAGCAGCCGGAAAAGGCAACTACTTCGGTGACGAAGGAGGGAGATGCTGCTGAAAGTAATGTACAGAAGCTTGTGAAACTCGATTCTTCATTGCCAAAGTCAGCGGAGAAGCCACTCGAATCTGTGCCAAAGTCAGGCCTTGGTGAGACTTTGTGGAATAATGCTGGAAGCTTAATTAAGCGGTTCAATACGCCGTCGGAAAAGGCAACCACTTCGATGACGAAGGAGGAAAACGATAAGAAAATTGCGTTTGAAAATTATTTTCAATCGCTTGCAACGTCATTGAAGAAGCCACTCGAATCTGTGTCAACGTCAGGCCGTGGTGAGACTCCTCCGAATCCAGTTGAAAGGTTATTTACGTGGTTCAAAAAGTCGCCGGAAAAGACAACCACTGCGGTGACGAAGGATGACATTGATCCTAAAACGCTGGTTTCAGAATCACAACGCATTCCTAGTGCCAACCTTGCCGAGATGAAGCCAAATCCTGAAACGCTGGTTTCAGAATCACAACGCATTCCTAGTGCCAACCTTGCCGAGAAGAAGCCAAACGCTGTTGAACATGATTAGTGAGCCTCTGAAAACTTGCTGCTCCCATCATAGAGCGAAGCTAAGGATCCAACGGCTTTTCGTGCATGAGACGAACCCAGTGTAGCCTGGCGACCCATAGTCTCACTACATGAGTCCTATAGGCATCAATTTACACAAGTTGTTCTTCATAAATAAAGTCCTCATTCATCTGCAGAATTCAAGTTTAAATTTCTCAGTCTTGGTCGTAATCGTTTTCCACTAAAAGGATTGCTAAGAAACGGAGCACGCATTGCGATAGCACATCTTACTCTTTTGCATTCTAATTATTTTACGAATTTTATGGAAAAAGTCTTTAGTTCAAGATTGACATATATTAAGAAAAATATTAAGAATTTCTCTTTTACTCGAACACTGGAATTTTTGTCTTTATCTGCTACACATTTGATCACATTTATTTAAATAGAATGTAATTGTACAAAATTCACATTGCACTTTGGTATAATTGTGTAGAGGTATAGCTATCGAAATATCGGTATTTATGAAAATGATGGAGCTACGTCGAAAAATCACGATAGAGCTAGTCGAACATATGTATCTAGTTATAGTCTAAGTCGCGTTAATCTTAAATGTTTGTACTCGTCAAATGCAGAAGTAGCAGGACATCTAGTGATGATAGATGCCTCTGGCTTCATTTCTGATAGAAGCGCACGAGCTAAAACTCTGTGCATTGAAATTTTCTCGATGCAATGTAAACAGCAACCCCTTTGCGCTTTGTAATACTTGTTAACAAATTCTCGACCGCTTATTTCTATCTCTTTCCGATGGGACCACAGGGCTGGTGGCTGAGAAATCAAAGGTGATTATAGCTCGCCTGGATGCGCTCTCCAGCCAAGAAAATTATCTGGCGAGGCTCTTCACGAACAACACAACTGGACACCGGTGGAAGAAAAGACTTAAGGCCGCCGATGTTGAGCAAGTAGAACCTTGAGCACCGGAACAACATTCTAGATTATGGATATTTGATCATACACGGATTTGACCATACCTCACTCATTGACAAGGCGTCGCACTTGCGGTCTTCAAAGCTATAATCCGCGCGCGATTAGGTGCTCTTGTGTGATACCTCAATAAAAGTGCGTATCAATGTAGATAGATTCGAAGCAACAGGTATCGCGGTGTCTACAATGCCTAGTTAGGCGTACCTGACGGTCAACGTTCAAAAGTAAAGCACTCTCATCGCCGCAATGAGCGGGGCTGCCGTAGCTCTTTGTCTAGCGGAAGCTAAGCACAGGTCACCGACCTTACGCTCTATACTGGAACTAGTATGAGTGTAGCCGATCGCAATCCTCTACCTCTAAGAGCACCTGAATTCTGAACAAAAGGCATATACACTCGTCCGTTCGAAATTCAAACTGTATCCTCATTGTTTTTTGCGGCAGAGCCGCCTATATCGAAATCTCTAAGTTTTCCTACTTAAACAGTTAAACCTAATAAATATGCACAACTACTGGTAGTTCCGTCACGAAGTGGCTTTTTTGTTAAGGTGTAGTCACATCATTGTGTGGTCACACCACCTTATGTGGCACACTCCTTTATACCAGGGTACATGAAATTCCGCTACACTCTCCCCCATCTAAATTGTGATAACCCACAACTCACATTCAACTGTCGCCTTGTCGAGGCTCGTGTGTCTAATACACCTTACGTCCTCAAGAACTTCTTTTCGCACTCTCTGCTCAATAAGCCTTGCGTCTATGACAAGAAAAATACCCAGCCTCGCTGGTTCGAGAGCGCCCGCGGGCAGAGCCGTTCTTCGTCTCCTTCACGCGGTGTAACTCAGGACAATACGTTCGCGGTTTTAAGGGAAGCCGTCCCAAACCCTCGACAGCCAAACGACGCACAATCTGCCCGCCACGGGCGACGGATACCTTGTCGGAAATTTGGAGAAATCGACTACGAGTCGGATACTCTTTCGAAAGATAAGAAGAATAGAAGAACGAGGTGCGCCATTAGCGCGGCGTGAGCCCTGCTCGAACCTTGCGGACAGCGTGTCCGTTTCCTGACCTCTCGACTTCCGGGGAAAGTGGTGTCATTACCAATTGCCTCCACGAGGCACAGGAGCAGCAGTTGAAGGATGCTCACAGAGCAGCTCTCATGTGCTCACGTCAACGGTCGGTCCTAGACTATCGTGTGGAATACGGCTTCCGCTCGGCGGGTCCCGCTACTGAAACGAGGCATCTACGTTGTCGGATCCTTAGTTACTACACATGTAGAGTTTGACCAACGAAAAGCTTTCCTAGCTCGTTTCTTTTTACCTAAAAAAAGCCCACTGAATATGTACCGCGCTCGACTTCGCGCTCAGAGAGAAGGCGCTCTTGTACCTGCAATGCGGACGATTCCTGTTGTACACGCCCTGACGAAACCGCTGTAGATAAAAAAGAGCACTTTGAGCGATGGGTGCAGCGGCACCGGAATCTTTCCTCGATGTCTTACTTACAGCGTAGCCACAAGGAGGTGGACGTGCGCGTAGAGCTCTATGTTCGGTTCGAGTTTGCCAAACTCAAGGTGCAACGCCAACTTCCTTTGTATTATCGCCCTACAACGTATGAGTGAATCCATCACGCTCCCGCGAGCTCTGTGGTCTCACACAAGGGTGAGCCTACGACTACAGCAGCTCAGGGCCATAGCTTGAACTCAGCTTGTGGCCCTTCGGCTTCCCCAGCAATTGCCGAGATGAGCGGGGCGTACGACGACGCGGAGCGTCATGATCCCTCTGATCATGAGCGTCCACAATCCTTGCCAAGGTGGCACCTCGAACTCTGAAGAGTCTTGGAGGCGGGGTATCCCCGCCAATTCACAAGATATTGGGTTTGACCCTGT